GTTGTGGTGGTGGTGGTGGTAGTGGTAGTAGTGATGATGCATGCTACCTTGGTGGTATTTTGGGTAATGTTTTACTTAGTAGTCATTGAAATAACTTTAAATTATTATGGTGTCAACATGTTTTACTTAGTAGTTATTGAAATAACTTTAAATTATGGTGTCAACTTGAACAGCAGAACACCAAGACGGCTGAGAACATATACAATGTTCGTGTATAGAGGCCGACTCCCTCCCCAAAACAAACAAACAAACAAAACAAAAACAGCAAAACAAAACAACCCCTTAAAGCAAACAAAAGCAAACAAACAAAACAACCCCCTCCTAAAAAAACAACAACAAACAAACAAACAAATTGAACCCTTAACCAAGGATTTTTAAAGAGTTTTACATTGAAGAAGAAACCGACAGCCAAGGAGAACTTTTTGTTCCTGGCGTTTGCAAACAAGCAACTAGCAAAACGAATGATGTGATGTTCATTTTAAACAATCACGAAACATTATATGAGTCGGGTGACTTCATAAAATATATGTCATGCGAAATAAAAATGCTTTGCGTCAGCGCCAGCTCGAAAAGTAGCAAATTATGGTAGCTGAATATAACAAAATAACAAAAAAGTAGCTAAAACAACTGTAGTTCAGGTATGAAATTGCAATAATTAAATAGCAAGAATCCAAAAGTAAAATGAGCCGAGAACACGAACTAAGAGAGAGCGATATAATCTGCGATGGCCAAGCTCAATGGTAAGGAAGCGGGGAAATAGAAAGAATATTCTCTCAAGCACCGACGTATCTCGAACCATTGCTAAAAATAGACAAAATTAGGTCATTATAACCGGATGTGACGTTTTGGTAAAGTTTCTCCCTCCCGAGTAGAAGATTGAATTGTTGTTCGCCACCCTCCCGCCCCGTCTCTTAATGTTAGGGACACAAGACTGAGTGAGAAGAGGGCAAAATCATTGCTGCACTGCAATGGTAGCAAGCGCATGATGTTGTTTGTGAGGTATGCAAAAGAATAAGCTATGTGAAAGCTTCAGAAGCACACAGCTTGCGTTTGTAAAGGTAATCTTGCTGCATTGTATTTTATTTCTTCTTTTGCCATTCCCCCATCCCGCAATGCTGAATGCAAAACCGACCAGTCGAGTTCAGCGCGCAGCTCTCTCAATCCAAGCAGGCGAGATAGCCCGTTAGGCCCACGACGCAGTGTGGTTGCTGGTATTCTTCGCACAGGCTGGTGGGTTTGCGGGCCAACGTATAGAGGCCTAGTGTTCGCTTTTAGCGGAAGGCCTTATATTCAGGACACCCTCTCAGTCATCTGCACTAGTTTCAGTTGACTAGAACAGTGTCTGTGCTCAACTTCATGTGTGTTGGATATGAAGTAAAACGTGTGAGAATATAAATGTGAAGGATATTGTTCATGATTCAGTTCATAAGGATTATTCTGTGCTTTCTTCCGAGAGTCCCCGGTCTCTCTTACCAACTTGAACCACTGTCCAAGACTTGTCTTCAGAACTATGTATGTTTATTACAGAGAAACAAGTAGAATCTAGATGAATCTAGAAGCCTAATATTTTGACTGCTTTTTAGATGATAGTGAGACATTTTATACAAGCTGTAGATATGTAGATCTAGATTTAGATCTAGAAATCTAGATAGGTCCACTTTAATTTGTTTTCAGGCTGTTGAAGCCTGCCTGGAGACTACAACGTAAAAAAAAATAGATCTAATGATTTCGGTGTCTGCTGTCCTCGCCTCCACATTGTCTGTTGGCTATTGGCATTGGTTCCTTGTTGTGTTGGCTTGGCTTGTTAAAAAGAGTTTGAGTTTACATTAGACAAAGTGAGAAGTCATGGACTTTCTGTGGTGTAGCAGTTTCAGGGTTGAAGAATTTGAATGGAATTAATCTTGAAAAATAGATCAGGCGATTGCAAAGTCTCCTCTGAAATTCTCTAAAATATATATAGATCTAGATCTAGATCTAGATCTAGCCTAGGCTATAAGTAGCTCTAGGCCTGGAAAAGACATTTCTTTTCTTACTTTTGGTCTATATATCTAGATTCTAGATCTAGAATCTGGACTCTAGATCTAGATTCTAGTCTTTTTCAAACTGATCTTCGTTACATAATTTCTTCTTCTTCTTCTTCCTCTTCTTCCTCTGCGAACTGATAATCAAGTTCATATTTTTATTTTAGTCTTATTCTAACTTCTGAAGTTTTCTTGAACTAATCTTGATTTTGTTTTGCTGTTTTCCTTAAATTAAAAAATGGTCCCAGCCTAAGGTGATCTTGTAACATTCGTTAAAGTCCACGATCCATTTATTTACATCCAGAAAAGAAATCCATAAGTCTTGATGACCAAATAGGCAACACAAAGAACAGGGATACAACCTAACTGCAAAACTTCAAATTATGGTAAAATTCCACGGGGTCATGCCCCCTGACCCCCCCCCCCCCACCTCCATATCCATTTGTTAGGTCAGGGGGGCAAGCCCCTGAAACCCCCCTACTCTTGACTTTAACGAACGAAACTACAAAATCGCCCAGCTTAACTCCATGGGGATTTATACAATCGGAAACAAAATTAGAAATCGAGTAAAAAAGCTGGCTACATTGCCAGGGTGAAAAGGCCACCGGTAAAGTTATAGAAAAGGTCCAAACCCATTTTATACTTTGGCACTAAAAACTGTCACAAACCATTATTTTTGTGAATATCGAAAAAATGGAACACTAATGAAAAAAAAAGTCCTGAAAAATCAATAAATACTCAGCTATCTTTTTTTTTACTGGACTTCCATTTTTTTTTCCAATTGTGTACTCATAGATGTTATAAATTTCTATGGAGTTAAGTCGGGACCCACTTCTCCCGAAGAGGCCAAAAATGCACCATTTATGAGTTATCAAGCCCCTAAGAACTTCAGATGGTGCTGTAGTCCAAATATTTGAAGCCTGAAGACCCACAATCTAAATTGTATGTTAGTGGTCAGACCAATGAAGGTCATCTTTGTTGAGAAAAGTCATTTTACACGGCACGGTGGAATCAGGCGCTTGTCAGTTTTGGGGCATATGGAGTAATTGGTATCGTCTTAAAGCCTGTCCATTTGCCTTACTTGTGATGAAAAATGTGTCCATGTATCTTGGATACAAGTCAAGATATTGGCGATTGAAGGAGGTGGGGTTCACCTCGTTTCAGAGGTAAAATTAGTGAGAAAATGTCTACCAAATTTGAGTTATTTCCTTAGCTTGAGAGTGTTGAAACTGAAAATTTGCATTTATTGTGCCTTTAATCAATGTTTATGAGTAAAATCTACACAGAAATGTGTTTTTTAATGGGCACGAAGGGTGTTGGGCCAAAAAACAAAAATTCGATTATAACAATTTCACAAACCTTCAGAAAAATGCCAGTTTCTTGAGTTTCATTATTTTGACGAGCGCCTGATTTCACAATGCTGTCTCACGTATAATTTGAATTTACAGGCAGCGGTGTATTGGACAAGCATTGAAATCAAGTTGTTTGTCTGTTTGACATAAAAGACTATTGTGCGCACACTTTCATGTTAAACTCATTCAAAAGTCTCCATGCACAATTTATCAAAGCTTATTACGTTTTACTTGTTCTTAAAGTATCAGTTGCAATGGTTGCTGTCTCAAAACTGAATTTTCAGAGTAAATAAAATATTAAGTTGTACCACATTTCGTTGTTTTACAATGTAGGGTTTGGTATTGCTTTTCGTTACTGATTTTCACAGGAACCTTTCTGAAATGGAATGGTGAGAAGTAAGAAAAAAAATTTGCTGTGACTAAATGACAATTTTTGGAAGTGATGGGTGAGTGCTGATGGAGGACTAATCAGCTCACACAGAGCATGTTGTAGAATTAAGATTAGTAAAACAAAAAATACCACTTGAAAATTTACTTAGAACAGTTTCAGAAAGAGTAGTATGGTGTTACTCTTCCCCCAGCCAAATAAACACCCTGTGCATTCATCCTCAGCTCCCATTTATGGTCACAACCAGTCTTGTACCAATTTTTTTCCTTTGTTTTTGTCTGCCTTCATGGTCAATTCGCTCACTGCGGGCTGCGTCAGGTCATTCGTTATTCAAAATCCAGTAGTTTGTATCTTTAAAGTCCTTCAGCTTTGGTTTGTTATATTTACTGGTCTGTGTAGTTCAAATTTTCTGAAATTAGCAAATTTTTATTTGATGTGCAAGTCAAATAAAAAGGCCTACAAATCATTTAGTCAGAAGGAGAACCTAGACAAGTTGTCACCACGACAAGTTCAACTCAACTCATGTGTCCTGTCGAACAACATTATAGTTCTGTTTTGAGCAAGAATAATCAATCTATGAGAACTTTTTCTAATGTAAAAACATTCTTTAATTATTAGTTTTGTGGGGGCTGTCGTGGTCCTGAGGTAGGCCTACTGTGTTCTCCTCTCAGTCAAAAGATCCTTGGATGGAAACCTGCCAGCAACAAAAAAATTGTCTTAACTAAAATGTTGTTCTGTGTCCTCCTTTCCTGTTCTCTAGTCCTGTTCTGTCATCTGCCTTCCTCTCCTCTCTCTCTTTCGTTCCCCCACCCGCATCCCTCGCCCTCTATCTGCTCCTCTCTCCCTTACCCCTGACTTTTAACTGCTACCCCTGGCCCCTTCTCACTGTTGTCTTTCTACCACACTGCTGCCGATCAAAGGGTAGATAAGATCAAAAGATAAAACAAAAAAATCCCAGAGGTCCTTTGTGCAAGTTGACCATCATGTGAAAGATCCCTTGGTGGTCCTGAAATTATAAGAGTAGGCTTCAACTGCCACCTGCGCAAAATTCAAAAAATGAATTACTACCATAACTGAAAATACTCAAGTCAGTGTCAACAAAAATTGGGTGCCTTTGAAATGGGAATGTGGTTGCCTGAAGGCAGGGGGTCCTACCAAGTAGGAAAAATGGTCATATATGCATTCTAAAAATCAGTTGCAATGCAGGCTGAAGAACCGGCAGTAGACTGACTACCCCTGAGATCTAGCAAGAGAATACAAAGTAAAAAGAAGAAGAAATTGTTTTGCCTTTTTCTGAATGTATTTCTTGTAAGAAAATAATAAACATTAAAAGACAGAGCATAATAAAAAAGGGTTCAGTACATGTATGGGTTTTGACATTGACAAGCTGAAGTGAAGTACATGGGATACATAAATTATGGTTTGGTTATGATCTGGTTAGTGCTATTTTCTGTTTGCCTTGCATGACAATGGTTTATAAATCAAACAGTACTTATGACAGGGGAAGATTTGTTGATTGTAAGGGTTGTTGTTGTAATGAAATGAAATATGGAATTCTTCAAATGCTTAAATATCATGGGGGGGGGGGGGGGGGGGTGTTGAAGTTTTTTTTGTTAATGACAATCAAGGAGGCTGGGCAACTAATAATATGACGAGTCATTGAGAGGCGTTTTAATGTTTTCCAAATCAGTCAAGGGGTCAAAGTTTTTTTAACAACTTTCCGTTTTGTGGATATTCAGCAGCCTATCGTATTTTCATACCCAACCTGGGCCCACTTTAGTTGTACAGATTTTTCCAGTTAGACAATTGTGCACAATACTTGAAGAAGATCATTATATCTCATTGATTTACAATGATAATTGACATGATACTTCCAGTGAACGGGCTCGAAGTGGGACTGGTAGTTCTTTTTTCCTGTCCTTAATTTCTGTGCATAGAATGCCCAATATTTTGCACTATGTGCATGTGAGCCTTTTCATTTTAATCAGCTCAAAGTTATTTTTCACAGGCCATATTGAGTGTCTTTGTGTGTGATGCCAAATTCTAATATTCCTCTATATTCTTCTGTTTCTCAGATAAGGTATCTTTGGAGGCTGAGTGGATTATGCCAGTAGAGTCGTCTCAAGACGTGCCGTTTGTGCAGTATCATCATCGTCACCCAAGCCATCACCATCATTTTCTGCCATGCTTCGCCGAGGATCTTGACCTGGTGACAAGTCCCGATGACCTGTGTCTGTCCAGTACTGCAGCAGCGGCGGCCTTGACCCTTGACAGCAACGAGAACCTCATCAGCACCCACAGCCCACCTTTGATTAACCTCAGCCCGAACTTAAGCCCGTCTTCAGAGTCTCGGGTCTCCCCATTTTATGACTTCAGAGAGACGACACGTAGAAGGAGTGCTCAAGGTGAGTTGCTCAGTTGCACAAGTAAAATCCTCCAAAATGCATGTTGTGGAGAGTTTTCCTTTCAGTTTTAGAAAAGAAGAGATCTGCAGGTTTTTGGAAACTATTTGCTTATTATTATGGTCCAGAATTTTAGTCACCTGAGATTCAGTGAAAAGAAGGTCTTGGATTTCCTTTTTTCAGTTTTGACTCGTAACAGGAGTTGACAGTGGCCATGTTACAACTAAACCAGAAATTGAAGTGCAGTGATTGATTTTTTTGTTTCATTCAAGGTAGAGATCTTATGTTGGACTTAGACTCCGTCAATTTCAAACCTTTGCAAAAGTAAAAAATGCTGTTCTGGCCATTTTCCAAAATTTCAATGCCTCATACATGCGAATGATAATTTTTTTGGAAAGTTTGTAGGTTTTGTTTGATGAAAAGCAGATTTCACAGGCTGTTTCTTTGAAGGTTTTTTTTTTCTCTTTTCTCCAAAAAAAAAAAAATCGAAGGCTTGGCTGGAGAATCACTTGCGCTTAAAAAAAATTCTTATCATAGCTTTTGTTATTAATTAATTGAATGTAGTGGGAGAATGAAGTTCATCACAATCAGATGTCGGTCCGAATACTATTTTTTTTGGGCGTACTTCTAGTTTTATCTTCAAACCTCTTGTTTAATGAGAAGTTATTAGCCAGATGTTCCATATTACACTGTTTGTGCTGAATAGTGAGCACAAAGGAATGGGTTTTTTAAATTTAAGTTGCCTGCTTTATATCTGTGTAACTTTGTCTGCATTTGCATGCATTTCATTTGGACATAATTTATCACAACCTTAAGGAACATAAATTTTGGTTTCAGAGCTTTCAGTGGATGGCTTAAATGATGTATCGTGCTGGAGTTCTCCTGAAGCTTTTTTAACTAAGGTCTTTTTGACAGTTGTGTTTCCTTTTTTATTCAGTGAAAAAAATATGAAAGGAGGGAGGAGGGGGTCAGCTGTTTGGTACTGGCTGTATGTTCATTATATTGTCTTCCTCACAGTGACTTCAGCTTTTTCGACATATTATATGAGAATGTTAAACCAAATTTTAAGAGATATGTTGCTGAAAGAAAGCTGTGCCTATATTTTTGCTTCTTAAAAAAAAAAAACTGCCCAAAGTATTAAGGAAGTGGGAAGGTTGTGCTTTTAGCAGATTTGTTACAGGAATGATTTGTACCAGACTCAACCAGGAAACTGTGATGCCACCTTAACCACCCCACACACAAGTCCCCTCTTT